CAGCCTGCTGTATGTCTACAGTTTCTGATATAATAGAAAAATACCAACTTTCAGAATGGCAAAGTATCGTTAACTGATGCAGACTGTACTCCCTGATGGGCAAAATGATAGACAATAAGGTACATGGGGTGAGTATTCATTTTTTAGCTCTCTGTTTCTTTACAGTGACCAGTCACGAGAAAACAAGGTAGGAAAGAACCTTCCTGTCACTTTCTCCTGACACATAGGTGACAGGAGACTTTCATTTTCTAGGCACTTCTAACATGGGACTGCGTCCCAGGACCTAGGTAACCTGAAGTGACTTAGGTCCTAAACCACTACTGAAGGAATACAAATATAGAGGACGCCCATTACTTTTTGTGTTTGTTTAGGAAATAGCTAAGGAAATAGCTCATAGAAGACTAACTCAGTTGTTAGTTTCTTTCTCTCTGCAGCTTCATTAATGCAAATTGGAAGAACAGGTAATGCAATAGAAAGTCTTTTGGCTTGACAGCAGATTCCCAGAATCTTCTCACTTTCAAACTAATAAATAAATCAAATGTTCCTTATTCATGAAGATGGCAGTACCATCTTACAATGCTTGCTCTGATGTCAGGTGCAGTTTAACTAAGACAGAGGGTCTTATTTTTTTTCACTTAGAGGCAGAGGGCTTATTGATGCACCAGCTGCTTTAAAAGTGATGACATTTTTCTGCAAAAAGGGCTTTTGAAAATGAATCCATGCTGAGTTAATATTCTTTAAATAACTGTTTTTATAACTACTTCTAGTTTATGCTGTATTTGTTGAGCTTGTCAGCTGGAAGGTCTTTACTAAAGCTTGGATGGTTATGCATCTCCTGATCTGTAGTCTTCTTGTGCAGGTATGCTAAGATAGATTTGTCAAGCAACCAGTGGAGTTGTGATCAATTAGAACAATAAACCAGTGTCCTGCCTCTTCTCAGTAGATGCATTATCTCTTTTCCTCTCTTTTCAAAATAGGCAGCTCTGTCCTCACTAGTTTAGGGACACATTCTCAGTCTCTAAAGAATGCTTCACAATATGCTGAGTTTTAATCTCAGTTTTATCATGAGATATGGGAGTGAAAGCTTCAAATCAAACTGCAGACATGCTGAGTGTTTTCCAGTCGAAGAAGTCAGTTTTCTTCCACAGGGAGGAGGCTGTATCCTCTGAGATGGGAGAAATAATTCATCCTATTTAAAATTGAGAACTAAACAAGATGTGGTTAGTTTGCAAAGTGGATGACATGGCAGGCTGTAAAAACCTTTGGTGCTGAAGTGCTTGTAGTGAAGCCCCCCAGCTCAGACTGAAGTGCTTACAGTCAGGGATACAGTGACAAATTAGAATTATGTTCAACTTTCAGCCGTCAAACAGTTCCTGGGAAGCCAGCGTGATTCGTGCGGCTTCCAGGCAAACCTCACCTGCAGTACCTTTCTTAGGATTCTGGCTGGAGCTGCTCAAAAAATTCATTCCAGCTTCTGTCAGTCTTTCCAAGTCTCCTTCATGTTTGTCACCCTGGGTCAGAGGTAATCCAAGTGGGTTGCTTTTGGTTTCCTCACCAGCACCTTGCAGACTGCTACCAGGATCAGGGCCCATGCTTTTCTTCTCTAGATAGCTCAAAATACTTTTTCTTCTCATGTGTCATATGTTCTGCAGTTTCTAAATCCAACTGAGTAAATCGGGTTTACCAATGACATTAATTGTAGTTTATAACTTTGCCTCTACAACTTACCTTACTTCTTATTCAAGATGAGAATTAAGAAAGTGACATTAGATAGGCAGTAGAAAGTTTGACTGAACATTTTTATTTACTATTTTCTTTATGTTTACTATTTACTATTCTATGTATTTACTATTTTTCCTTATTTCCTGGTTGGGTTTGTTTGTTTTTTTGCTTGTTTGTTTTTCTTTAGAACCAGTAGGACAAAGAGAAAAATGTGGAAGACATCATTTTAGAGGACACTCCTCAATGCCAAGATAGCTTCCTTCACGGTTCTTCAAGAGGGTAACTTGCAAGGAACCCAACAGAGCACACTGAGTCCACACCACCATTTTTATTCATTTCACACAGGTCTGAGACAGCGTACACCTGCCTCTGGAGCTGAATTACGCCTGCATTGCTATTGAATGACCTGGCTCAGAGTTGTCAAGAGGTTTTCACAAATAGCTCCTATTAGTGCTAATGGGAATGTGACAAATTAATCTCTCATGTAAAGATGAGAGAACAAACCATTTCAATTGCAGAATGAGGAACAGTGTGAGGGACTACAGAAACCTGAACCATATAACAACAAAACACAGCTGACAGAATAGTACTTTTGGCTTGTTATTACGTGCAGTCTGAAATCAGCAGAGGTACAAAGATGATGCAGTATGTCACTCCACTCTTCCACCTCTGCTGGGATTTTTCTTTGCTGTGTTATACTCATAAATGGCAACAGTATTATTCTAGCTTCTAATAAAACCTGAGAATGAGTAACATAAATATTTAGTCTGAAATCTACATTGTAAGGGCAGAGTTGAAAAGAAGGCAATACAAACACAAACCAAAAAAAAAAATCAGGGAAAAATAAAAGCATTGATGACATTTGCTTTGATAAAACAAGTAAATTTTATATTCGCTTGTTTACACTTTATTTAAAGTATAAGCAGGTATTTCCATGATAAATGCAGTCATGCTTATTTGTTGTACTGAGCGAGTTACTCGTCAGCAATTTTGGTTTTATGGTGTGGTATCATGGCTTCTTCCCAATAAATAATTTTTGTTTGCAGTTGCTCCTTCAGCCCAAATAAAGCAGTTTCTTCCTGTGTATTTATTGTTATCTGGAACCCAGTCCTATCAGAGTGTCTTTCAAGCTTCTTGCTCCACTGTTTAAAAATGGAAACACTAAAAGGGAACATCATAGGGACAACTGTGAGAAAGATTCAGATCTCTTAACTATTTAGTACAGGACACACAGGTATCTAAACCAGGAAAAAGACCATAAAGTCAAACGTTGGGAAACGTCTGAACGTGCTGCAAGGATAAATGACAGTCTGGGTCATGAATGTTTGCAATTTTCATGGCTGCCGTTAAGAAGTAAAAGACTTATTGTCCTATTCTGCTACTTGTATATCCATGAGTAAATTACCAGAATGTGTCTGGTGCATGATGTAAACCAACACAAACCTCTCTGAGGTTCAGCAAGTGCAGTGGTGCCGCATGGTTTCAGGAAGGCCGTCCTCTCCTGAACATAACTGCCCAGTGAAGGGGAGTAGGATGTCCTTCCAGGAGTGTTGCTGGCAATGCCTTGCTGTTTTGGGTGGGACAGGGGGTTGAACAGGGTCCCAGAGAGGCCATACTGTCTGAGGACACTGCAAGGACCAGCTGCTCCTCATGTTTCTCCCTGCCAGTGCGGTGGGAGTGCTAATAACATCCCAGAGGCAGCCCTACTGACCAGACAGCAGGACTTGGGAATGCCCTTCAATGACTGTCTGGATCACCCTGATAGGCAGCCTCCCTGAAGCCATGGGTGGTTTCCCAGTGGATATGCAAACTTGATGGTTGGCATACTGGCAGCACTTCTCATTTGAACTGGGGAGCTGATTTTGCTGCATACATTTAAATGTCAAAAATAATGCTGATGCACCAGCATTTGCTAAATATATAAATAATGACTTACTGCTTTAGCCTAATTCAAAGCCAATCAAAACCACACTACATAAGACAACAGCTAAGAAAAACCCTCCCATGGTGCACTGAAATAAAAGTCAATCCCTGTGCAAATTAGTGGTTGCCTTGGTGGTCTGCTTTGATGCTGGCATGGTGTTGAATCATGAAGTGCATCTGGAGAGTTCTGTCCTGCTGTCTGAACTGAAAATTATGCCGGTGGGGGTAGAGCTGAGAATGGCTTCTCAGTGTTTGACGACCTACCTCATGCAGCCTGTGTATGCCTTGGAGGTCTTTCAAAATGCTGAGATTCCAGACAGCAAAACCAAGGCATTTCTTGAAGAAATGAAAGCAGAAACAGTGCAGAAACGAATAGCTGGCCAATCACACTTAAAGAAGCTCTTCAGGCACTAGAATAAGCTGGCAGTAATTCATTTCTTGTCACTGCCGCAGCTGCATGAAATTTATTTCTTTTTAAAAATTTTAACATACAAACCCCAGATAGTACAGTCTGGTCCCATTGAAGGAACTAAAAACACCTGTGAATGCTCAAAAAAATAGTTTTTAGGTGACAGTTCATCTGTCAGCTTACCTTCATCCACTGGATATTGCTATACTTTCCATGCCCGTAAAATACATTTTTCTTGTGATTTACACTGAACTTTTTGTTTGGCTCCACTTTGACTCCCCCAGTTTGTCTTCTGGCTAGCAATTCAAGCAGCATCCATCATGTAATTCTTTTGCTAGAGCTTAGTCTTTCTCCTTCTGGCAGTGTGAAATCTCAGGACTCTGAGAGTTTCGCTGTTTACCATAATCCTGCTGGGCTTGCCCATTTTAGAGCCAAGTGCAGGGCAGCTTCTGGAGCTACATTCATAGACTACTTTCTTGGTTTGAAAGATCCAAAATGGGATTTCTAGATTTTGTCTATATAAAGCTACCCATGAACTACCACGTCTTTCTGCAGCTGATCTGATTCCCCACAGTGAGTTTTTTCACTATGAAAAATGATTGGTCATTGCACATGGATTCAATACCTTGTCTGCAGATTAACTGCATTAATCTGGTTTGCCTTACTAGCTCTCCTTATAAAGGTCTAAGTTCATTTCATACAGAAAACACAGGCATTTGCAGCTAGCTAGCTAGCAGCTGCAGTTAGGTGCTGCACCCATTGCTTTGGATTTGCTCACCAGCGCCGCATAGATTACTAGCAGGATTAGGGCCTCTGCATTTGGAAGGAGGAAGGAAGCCGCTGCTCGGTGCTTCACCTATCACTCAGATTTGAAGTGCACTAATTAATTTTCTTGCCCTTTAATCTATGTCCTATAGAAGGGCTAGAATTAAAGCACAACCTAGGTAATAATCTTCACTTTCTCACTTCTGCCTTGGAGCTGCAATCTGTCTGTATGAGCTGCTGAGATAATTTCTTTCAAACTGCAGAATTGGGAAGAGGACTTTGTAATCACCTCAGATCTGTTTTTTTACATTAGCCTTGGGCTTAAACTTGCATGTGAGACCAACCTCCCAATTTATTCTGCTGCCCCAGTTTTGACACTGTCTTGAGTATGGAGTGAGCCAGGTAAGTCAAGAAACAGCAAAGCATGAGGAGAATGCACTTGGTTGAAGCTCAGGGCCTGTCATGACAAGAGCCATGGCCATAACTGTCATCAGCAATGTCTTGTGGAGAGCTCTATTCAATACTGGACTAAAAGAAAATGGCAATTTACCCACTTAAGAATACCAGACCAAAATGAATTGAAATGGTGATATTCTAGGTAAAAAATATTGTATTTGGGAGACCCAAGGCAGTGCAGCATTGCAGCCAGGGACCTGGCCCAGGGGATGAGTCTGGAATATTCGTGAGATGTGTGTCACCAGGTAAGAAATGTAGCTGCTGGAGATGGCGATATCCTTGAACAAAATCCAGAGGAAATACAGAATTGTATTCCTCTGTATTGTCCAAGCACACCTACATATCTGTTCAAATTACCAGAAACTTCTCCTGAATAGAGACTAACTAATCAATTAAGTTTGGACAGTCGCACACCACAGACTAGCAGTGTGGCAATGGAGCTTGAACTGCAGTGTGCTCACTCAGCATGGCTTTCCAGATCAATGAAAACACATAATGGGTATGGCTCCTTGTTATTACAATTTCCTTTGCTATGTCAGCCAAAAATATATATCTGTGTCTGCCCATGTGCAGTCATTTAGGACTGCAGAAAGTCAAGACCAACGTGGTGAAGTGCATTTGACAACCAAGGCAGACTGACAGATGAGAGATCCATATATTGAGCAATGTCAGAAATATACGTGGCATTTTTTAAGTGAAATCGTCACAGTCAAAGGGCCAAACTTTCACATGCTTTTTGGGTGAGAAACAATAGGTGCTGTGGTAGGTAAAAAGCCATGATATGTCAGGAAAGTAAGACAGCAAGGACTGCCATGGGACAGCCTAACAAAGCCTACGGCAGATGGGAAAGAAAACGGCTGTGGAGACAAGACAGAGGGCTGCACCAAAGCTACAAGCAGGAGAGAGTGCTGGGCCTGCTTGATCCTATCTGACAATGCTTGTACCCTAAATGCAGGCTCACCCAGCCTGTCTATGACTGTGAAATAGATACCAGAGGAACAGGCTCTGTGTGGCAGAATGAGTAATCTGGTCTTTCTGTTTTGTGCATAAAACCAAGCCTTTTAAAATTAACTTTTTAAAATTAACCCAGTGTTACTACCTAATATGTTCAGTGCCACCCCTCTTTGCAGTACTTAATATGCACAGTGTCCGCCCTTTACTCTGTGCTGCTGCATTCTTGGATGATTGAATAACTGATTTTAAGACAATAGACTTTTACCAAACTTTTACAATTGAAATGAGCTGTGTTAATGTGTCACAAGTCAATGACTGGCCAAGCTACTAATGGGCTTTCAATAAAAATACAGAACAGTTTGTCACCTATCAAGGATAAAGTCATTTACCTAAGGTCTCCATTCCCACAGCCCTCCAGCTGACTACCTAGAAAATGAAACTTGAAGGTTTACCAGCACTTGTATGTACATTGTGCCATATCTACAGGTAGGATTCCAAATATTATTTAACATCCCAGACGTAACAGTACAGTTGTTTGTTTTTTTTAAAACCAAACTTTGTATTTAAATGCACACATTTGCACATACACTGCAGGTGGCTAGGGGGTGGCTCATAAATCTGAATGGCATGAACCAAAGCAGTACCTTCTGTTCAGGAAAAATCATACTTGGTGAACCATAAGAAGAAATATTCCAGAGAACAGAATACCACAGGATGCTTTGAGCAAGCCAAGGCTCTCTGTGATACCGAAGGACAGAAAAGCCAAGAATCAGCTATTCAGCAATGAATTAATATGTTGTTAAAGGTCTGACCACTCTTAACGTGTTTGTATCCAATAGCTTTTATCTCACTCCTGTCTTGCTGAATCAGCTTTTCTGCCTACATTAAACATCCACTGAACTAATCTAAACCTTATGTGTTCCTCTTCCTTAAAATAAAGGGGTTTTCTCTATTAGTTCTGGCTGAATTTTCTATGAACCAAGATAAATGTGAGTTGTTAACACATTCTTAAAGCACTTATTCAGGTTTCCAGGCTTGAAGAATCAAGCTAAGTACACCAGTAAGAAGTCTACATACAGCACACACAGCATCTCTATCACTGACTGTAATTCCTTCCCTCTGGGATTAAATTCCAGTGGACCTTATCCTGCAAGTCTTGCAGAAAGTAATTCATGAAGAGAGGCTATATGCTAGGATATAATAATCAGCATAAGGGTGAAAGATCACATATTTCCTGTCACACTTAGGCTGTAGTTATGTCCTGGGTTCAGCAGTTTTAATCATTTTTCTCCTTGTTAGTAGCTGGTGCAGTGCTGTGTTTTTGACTTTCGGCCTGGGAAAGGTGCTGATAACACTGATGGTTTTAGTTACTGCTCAAATGTTTACTCTGACCAAGGACTTTCTGAGTCTCATGCTCTGCCAGGGAGGAGGGGAAGCTGGGAGGAAGCAGAGACAGGACACGTGGCCCAAACTAGCCAAAGAGGTATTCCATACAACAGCATGTCATGCCCACTATATAAACTGGGGGCAGTTACCCAGAAGGGTTAGACCACTGCTCAGGTCAGGCTGGGTTTTGGTCGGCAGATGGTGAGGTGTTGTATTCTCTTCCCTTGTTATTTTCCTTATCATTATTATTATTGGTGATAGCAGTAGTGGTTTGTGTTATACCTTAGTTACTCGACTGTTCTTATCTCAACCCATGGGAGTTACATTCTTTTGATTCTCCTCTCCATCTCTCTGGGAGCAGAGGGAGGAAGCAGGGGCAGTGAGTGAGCGGCTGCATGATACTGAGTTACCAGCTGGGCTTAAACCACAACAAGTTACTTGCTGAAATCTTAGGACAGAAAAGGAAGTCCAGGGGACTGTTAGCTATACCCTTTCTCTAAGTGCCAAGCTAAACTTTTGATTCAGGCAGCTCAAACCCCGTTCTGCATCAAAACTCCTTTTCAACTACTGGTTACAATTAAAATTGTAATTTTCCTATGAGTAAGAGATGCAGTTTTCCAAATTATATCAGCATATAAAAATATAGATGTTTTCTGATACGTATTTAGGTTGTCCTTCAGAGCAGTCACTGGGTTGGTTTGGACATTGATTGACTACTTAGAGTTCTGTGGTTCATACTTGGAACAGTGTAAACACTTGTTCAGTGATTTATTTTCCCCTATTAAAACTCATCTTGAAATTCCAATCAATAACAAAATAAAGCAGAACTGCAAACACTCCTATCAGCTTTATCAGATTGCTCACTGCCCAAATATTTGTGAAGAGTATCCTAGGGGAATTAGCTGTGAAGTTCTGTAAACTGCTCCGGTAAAATGCCTTGCATTAGGGGCAGGTTACAGGTAACACCTGGCAAATATGTGAAACAGCCTGGGAAACAGTAGTGATCATAGGCTAGCGTGTGTCTTGTATTTCAAGAAATTACTTCTAGCCACCTGCAGTATATTTTAAGTGAAGTACTAAAGAAGTCCATAGTTCAATAGACCTTTGTGAAATACTTTAACAGTCTAAATGTTCCAGATGAGGCAAGGGTAATTACATCGCACATACACACGAGAGAAATAGCTTCAGCCACATCTGAAATAAAGTTCGATAAAGTAATTCCTGGCAACTGATTAGTAATGCACCCCACATCTTACAGTTCACACCAAGATACACAGAGGATTATCACTGCCAGACGAAATTTCAGTGAACATTCTACTACAGTAGATTATGCAAAGAGAAAATGGGAATTTAAGCCTAATGATCCTTTTTTATGCCAAATGTGTATATAGGGTGAAGTCACAGACAGGCATTATTATTGTTATTTAGTGCCTAGAGTACCCCTCATTGTTTCATAAAACTAAATGGACAGTAGCACTAATGTCCCTAAACCGTTCTCATGTGCCACATCAGACAGACAAAGACAGAACACTATCTGCTGTCTTTCTGAAGGATCCAGATCTTCACTCAATTGCTAACCCAGCCTGGCACAGTCTCCTCTCCTCTAGAGGGTTTCCTCAGGCCAGAAAGGGAGCAGTGAGGATGAAGAGCAGACTTCCACCCCGCTGCCCTCTCTTTTACATCCTTTCACAGGAATATGCTAACACACGATAACCAAGGAAGCATTTTAAACAGCTGTGCCACCCATATCCCCATTTAAGTCAGAGTTTTCAGATGGGGTTAGGCTTGGCTTGTGTGAGGTGCACTGAAAGGGCTGCAGTGACAGATGACTACTACAAGACATTATCCACTGAATCAGTAGGATTTCCAGACCCGTGAAACATGGGTACATTTTCAAGCTGCAGCCTCTAAACGAAGAGAACAAAACTTCTCAGGGGGCATGGCAGCCTGGGCTTTCTCTACACCAAACCTGCCCTCTTTTCCCAGGGACTAGGAGGAAGAGAAGCCAAGACCTAAAGAGCCTTTCCTACAGAGAAAGGCAGCTCTGCTATAAAAATCACTGGTGCCATTAGGAATCACTTTTCAAACCATCAAGAAAGGGGGGAAAGGGGGGGGGGGGGGGTGTGTTAATGGCCAGCAATGAGTAGGGAGCAGTGATTTGTTTGCTCTTTGGTGCCTGCTGTTCCTACAGCACCTCATCAGGAGCCCAGCTCTTCCTGACCCAGCAGGGGGCAATCCCAGCAAGTAGCTCAGGAAATCAGTGCTGGGCTTCAATTCTCCTGTAAAAGGGAAAGGTTGAAAAAGTAATAGAGCAACCTCCAGCTAGTTGCTTGTACCTCTCCGTGAGCCCTGCTGCCTGCACCAGCCCTGTGGGTGAGCATGGGCTGGGAGTTGGGGACAAGTAATGTGGAGGAATCACCCTCTTTCTATCCATTTGTGGTCAGCTTGTGAGGAGCTCTGCCCCTTTCAATGGCTTGCAGGGGTTCAGAGGGTTGGTGGGATCAAGCCCTGCTGGAAAGAAGAGTCAAGAAAAGCAGCCAGATTCTGCAGAATGGGAGTCTGGAAAAACTCATCCTGGGACGACTGTAAGTTAAACCTTGTTAAAGTCTCTCTTTTTTTCCACATCTCATTTGCACAGCTTCAAGTCTTTTCTAGACCCACCTGGATGTATCTTTGCAAGTAAAAGAAAATAAGAGTAGCTTAGTAGTCAGGCAGTTTCTGGGTGCCTATTTCCTCTACCAAATGAAGTGACTCATTTCTAAGCTTCCAAGTACACTGAGCACTCTTGTATCAGCAAACAGTTTTACCATAAAGCATATTAGCTAGTCATAAGCATTTTTGCCTACAATTCAATTGAATGTGTGCAAGCCCCTGCTCATCTGCAAAGGTATTTGTTTGTTATTCTAGGCATTGTTTAGCATTGAAGGGCAGAGATAACACAAAAATCATGCAATACTAAATCTCACTATATTACTTTTCTATATAGAAGGGAAATTAGTTGTTCGTAACACTGTAAGTATACATGACAAATCACTGAAAAGAACCATACCTATTTGAGGTAATTTTGAAGAAGGTGTTTGATGCTCCCTCCATCAGCAGCACTGCTCAGCAAAGACTTAAAGTAGTTGCGCTACAGTAGACAAACCTCATGGAAACAGTCATGGATGACTGCTGTAAGGTCTGCAGTCTCTTGGCCAGCCAAAGGTGATTAACAGCCACACAGGCTTGTGTACTGTTCCTTAAAAGCTGCTGCAGAAAAGCAGGCTGGACGGGCCAGAGAGGATTCCAGGAAGCACCTTTAAGCAGAGATCTATAACAATAGGACCGGGGGCTCTTCTAGTGACATCCCTTGTTCCATACATGAAGGATGCAATTGCCTGTGATACCTTCTGATTGTCAGACAGGCATTGCTTTATCCCACAGCACCAATGGGTTCGAGAGGGAATATTCAGTCTTCTTTGAGGTAAGTCTTCTGATATTTTATTTCTGATCTACAGTAAGATAGGATCCACAAGAGCCTTCAACAAAAGAGTGAAATTGCTGAACTCTTCTCTCCACCCCATCTTAGGAGTAAATCTACTAAAATGCAAGTCTTCAAGTAATGATTTGCTCTGACCCCGATACAAAAATGTATGTATATAAAATATATCCTCTATATAAATGTATGTATTCTATACTGTTTCTCTAAGCATCCTGGTGCACAATGTCATATCTGTGTTCACCAATGCACAGTCAGTTCAAATGTTAAAGAGCTTCAAGAATCACGTCAGATCATCAAGCCCATCTCCTAAACCCTACAGAGAAGGAAATAATCACTAGAGAACCTAATTGATACCAGTTGCCTATTGAATTAATTAGTGGAACAACAAGGATGTTAATACAGTAATACCACTAATAAGTTAATCATATACAGAAAGCTTGGTTTTATAAACTCTTACACTGTAATTTTTATCCCAAGAAGTAACATTAAACATTTTAAGACTTCTTCACAACATCTTGTTAAAACAATGAAACAAACATTTTTGCTTCAAGTCAGTGTTTGACATTATTTGGCTTTCTCTTAGAGAAAGAGACACAAAGAAAAGTCTAATGTTGATACAATGAACATAATTTTTAAATGACACAATGCATAATTTTTAAATATGACTATAAAATAAACATGCTGTTTTGAACCATTTGTAGTTATGCACTGTGTATGCTGTTTTGCTGTGTACAATGACTTTTGCTGAGGTCTTCATTCTGTGGCAAGAAGTTATTTCCTCATTGGAAGGAAGGGGATGGAGAGAATCAGAAGCAGACAAATTACTGGAAATGCCATGATGGGAAAATTGACAGAGAACTGCAAATGTGGATTGTTTCTACTGTTAGAGTTGTATTTAAAAATCACATACTAAAATTATAATTGTGTTAATAGTTGTTGTTCTGATACCACTGAAAAAGTGAAGAACTGGGGAAAAAAAAATATACAGTTTTGGGTCAATCTGAGATGTTTTATTCAAGGTGATGTTTGTTTTAAAAAAAACATACAGATGTACTCGGTTGCATTCCGCCATTATATACTCACCGAAT